TATATACCTAGGGGTCCTCATTAAGGGTCCCTCCTTTTACCGTTGGATTGAAGATATTGCAGGAACTAAGACTATAGCATTGTTACGGACTGAATTAACAAATGTCATGATGTCGTTATAATATTCTTCGTCTTGCAATTATAATTGTTATCACCCGATACAGTTGCCCGCGATTACCTCATCTGTGGTTATGCAGAACCATGCAGAAACGCAGGACAACCCCGGATCCCAATTCCGAAGCCGCAAACCTTGAACAAAACCCTTCCCCCAAATCGTAAACCCCACCCCGAATCAACCCTAAACCCGAATCACTGCTCACTACATGAACGCCTTCAAGCATGAGAGAACATGAGGACGGAATCCTTTGACTCAGTTTGACAAGGCCCGAATATCGATGTGCCTATAGACCGTACACCCTAAGCCGGAGGCTTAGGGCGTCAGAACACCAAGCACCACGAGAACCTCAAGAATAAACCTAAACCCTAAACCCTAAACCTTAAGCCCTAAACCCTAAACCCTAAACCCTACACCCTAACCCCTAAACCTTATAAGAAGCCTTCTGTGACATTCGAGACTTTATGGCTATAGGGCCCAGGAGTTCAGAACGCAGGGGTTGGCGGCCTTAGTGCTTAGGGTTTTAAGGTTTTAGGATCTTAGGGTTTAGGGTTTAGGGTTTCGGGTTTGGGGTTTAGGATTTAGGGTTTAGGCTTTAGGGTTTAGGGTTTCGGGTTTGGGGTTTAGGATTTAGGGTTTAGGCTTTCGGGTTTAGGGTTTCGGGTTTAGGGTTGGCGGCCTTAGTGGTCTGGGCTTAGGCTTTGCCTTGGTTTAGTGGGGCTAGTGATGCAGACAGCCTCCACTTTTGAGGTAAGCCTATTGCTCAAGAATCAGGATACAGAACAAAGGCTCCAGGGTTCAGGGTTGAGGGGGTCCGGGGGTTGAGGGCTTAGGCTTAGGGTTGTGAACCTGGTTGGCTCCGTTCTTGCAGGGGTCTATACGATTCAATACTGTTGATGATATAAATCCTGCATTACCCATAGTAGGGAATATACCATTATTCCCACAGTTTAGGGTCCTTAAGGTAATGCGGGATTTATATCATCAGCCGTAGTGCTGGAGTCTGGATGTTTGGATATACGGTTTAATAGGGCCCCCAAAAAGCACGTAAGCAAAAATTAGGATAGGGATATCCCATAAAAATCCCCTTATAATGAGCCCAGTAAGGTAGGGATATCCCCATAAAATGCTTATGCTTATGTGCTTTTTAAAGGTTCCCTAAATAAACCCTAAACCCCTGATTCCTAAATCCCTGAAACCCTAAACTCTGACCCTAAACCCTATAAACCCTTATAGAAATCTTTAAGGATTCCTTATAGAACCATTTAAGGATCCCTAAACCCTGGGTCACTCCGTACGATCCAACCGGTACCCCGAATTTTCGGAAACTCTAAACCCTAAACCCTGTATAGAACCCTCATAGTACCCCTATAGTAACCCTTAAAGGATCCCTTTAAAGGTACCCCCATTCTCGGAAACTCCCATTTTGGATATACGGTATAGGGTCACTCCGTACGATCCAACCGGTCAGATGGACCTGGCTGTTTCTCATGCATCAGCAAACCTCAACACCCTTGTCCTTTTAGAAATAATAGACAGAGCCCTATACCTATATCCCTTAGTAGGAACTATTCAAGAAGGTCTACTAGCCGGTCTGTTTATTCTTTTGGGGGAACCATGAAAATAAAGGACAAGGCTGAACCTCAAACTAGGTACATACCTTAAGTAACCTTAATAATTGGGTTCCTTTAAAGGTTCCTTGTAAAGTGGTCTATAAGGATCACAATATGGGGTATTATGGGGGTTTAGTATAGGAGCCTCAATAACTAGATGTACTAATTTGGGGTCTCCTTATTATAACAAAAGTATACTGGGCCCCCAAACTCTATTCTAATTACTAAGGGCCCTATATTGCGTGCACGTTTGCAACTCCCATGTCCTGCAAATAAAAACCAACACCCCTCATCCCTGCAATCCCTACTAACACCCCAAAGCCCTAAATGAGAAACAGCCCAAGGGGGTGCGCAAAGAGTCGGCACGAACATCTCGGCTGCCCTGTGGCTACCTGGGACCAGGTGATGGAGCGTTTAAGTCAGAGATTCGCCTGGTGGAGTTCGCTGACGGTTGCAGATTCGTCGCTCAGGTTCTCCCTTAGGCCCAGCTCAAGGAGCAGAAACTTGAGAAGTAGGGTAACAATTAGCGAAACTGTACGTGTACGTCACATACACATGCATACATGCATTACATACATCTTGCATACATATATTATACAATATGTACAGACATACATACATGCATGCATGCATGCATACATACACACATACACACATTCTCAAATAGTCTTTACTTTGGCCTTGACGTAGCTTCTATTAAGGTACTTTAGGGCCAAAGTAAGTACCATTTGGGCGCATGGACCCTCAGGGATACATGCACAAGTCGGAGTTTGCGGGTAGCACTGAAGAGTTTGCGTTGAGCACTCGCTTCCCGTTCACCGCAGCAAACAGAAGACCTTGGAGATCATGTGTCGGATGACTCTTGCTTTTCTGTCGAAATCTTCTGGCTGAAGAGTATCGAGTTTAGAGTTTCGTCAAGGCTGGAAGGCCAGCCTTGAACAGTGTCCAAAGCCCGAAACCCTTCTCCCTGAGAGGTCGAGGTTGAGACATGCTTAAGAGTCGTCATGTTTGGGAACTACAGCGTCACTGTGTCCACAAAATCCTTCGGAAACCCTAGCAACAGCAGCCAAGACCAACCGGCCACATGTTGAAGGGTAGGATTAGGGTCTACGGCTTAGGTCGCAGTTGAGAACCCACACAAGGCCCTCATACTGAACATGCTTGGACTGAACCTCCAGAACCCTGAGCCCACAACCCCTTAAACAATTTAGGGGCACCCGACATGACATATGATCTACGGTACATCATGGCAGCTGGAACCCTTTTGAACAGCGGACTCCCTTTGAAGATCCTGTGATAAGAAATGTGAAACCCAAAGAGTACCGGTCCTATGGGACCAGAGCAAGACCCAAACAAGGTTTATACTCCTTCATTACTTAAAGGCTCATGGGACTTAGTAAGTAAGGTTATAAGTAGGCTACAATTAGGATAACCCCACTTAGGGGACTTATAACCCCAATTATAACCTACTTACTAAGTCCCATGATCCTCTAAGTACCAAGAGAGTCCGTATATGTTACCATGATGGAATTACGCCCCAGAAAACCATCCTAATAATGGTTTTGGGGGGACCTAATTCCATAGTAGCATATATGGACCCGAAACCCTGGGCCCTAAAACCCAAGTCCCGACCCTCTGGGCTTAGGGGTTTCGGAGTTCCTGGGAGGCCAATAGCACCCTATATCTATATATATATATATATATATATAGATAGATAGATAGATAGATATAGAGCTCTTATAGATCCATTTGAGGATCCCTCTAAGGAGCCTTATAGGGATTTTTTAAGGAGCCTTGCTTACTTAGTTCCATGATCCTCCAAAAAAGGGGTTTCGGAGTTTTTTTCGGGAGGCCGGCGCCTCGCCTAAACCCCTAAACCCCTAAACCCCCAAACCCCTAAACCCTATACCCTATAACCCAAAGCCCTGAACCCCCGAACCCATAAACCCCAAAACCCCCAAAACCCTATGGATCCTTATAAGGAACCCTATAGATCCCTTTAAGGAGCCCTTTAAGGAACCCTAAACCCCCAAAACCCCAAACCCCGCGCCTCTTTAAACGGAGGTTTCCAGCAAAGCCCGGTCAAAGGGCGACCTGGGCTGCAAGGACGCACGGCGGGGTTTAGCGCTTTTTGAGGTCCAACCACTTCACTGTATGGTTTTTTAAAGTGCAATAGCCCCTTTCTCCACAGCAGCAGAGTCAAAAGCTCGCTCAGGTTAGAGCTTGCACTACCTCCGCCTCACACACCCTTCACATTCTTGGACGGGTTTAGGGTTTCGGGTTTAAGGGTTGAGGGTTTTGATAGGCTTTTAGGAGTTTAGGGCGGCTTAGGGTGGTTTAGGGTTTAGGATTCAGGGTGGTTTAGGGTGGTTTAGGCGTTTAGGGCTTGTTTTCCTTTTGAGGTCCGAATCGCTTTATGGCTTAAGGGTTTAGGGTTCTGGGTTGAGGGTTGAGCGTTCATGGGTTTAAGGTTTGGGTTTGGGGTTTCCGGGAACCCTGTATCCCAAGTCTGAATGTTGATTCGAGTCTCTCAACCCTGCAGTAGGATCATTGTTCGGTGAACGCTGATGAAGACCCTTTGGAGAGGGCTGGTCTAGTGCAGTTTAAACGGGAGATTTCAGATGACAACCTCAGAACCTTGCAAAAAGTCTTTTGGTATAAACGATGGAATTCACGGCTGGATTTGTTGTACGCACCGTCACCTGAAGTCCGAAGCCGAAACTCCACATCCCAAACCGTGGCCGCTGTTGAAAACCCAGAAACCTCAACCCTACACTACACTTACTGTAATCCCTAACTTCGGCACTCTGAACCAGGAAACTCTAGATTTTGAAGCGCCGCAAAAGGACAGTTCAAGGAACGCTTAAGAGAGCACCCTGGACCACCTCAAGGGATGTAACCTTATAACTGTAGCGGCCTTACCAATTTGAATAGGGTGTCGGGATAGATACTATACTATCACCATAAGGTGCCCTAAGGACAAATATATTGGCAATTATTCAAGCCCCTATAATTGTTGTAGTAACTATAATTCAAACACCTTGGCCCTACCGGACGTCCTGTGCAAATTTCTTCAGGACAATGGGTATACACTACAAAGGTCCCGCAAGCACATGTACTCCTGCGGTTGATGGTATAAATCCTGCATTACCTTAAGGATCCTAAACTATGGGAATAATGGTAATTTCCGTATTATGGGTAATGCAGGATGTATATCATCAACAGTATTGCTACAACAAAACAAAGTATCTGTGGCATCCGTGGGGCGCAGGATCAGCCCAGGGTGTTCTCTGCACCATATCTGGCAGTAGCTTTTACGGGTTTAGGTTTAGGGATTGAGAAAAGGGTCTGTGGCTCAGGACTTAAACATTTTTGAGGCTTGCTAGGCTTGCATTAGGGTTGACTACCGTGGAATCGTGATATACAGCGTGTCGAGAAGCGTTATTTCATGGCCCTATAGGGCTTAATGCAGGCTTTATCGGGTATTGCAAGCCTTGGTGGCAGTTTGGTAGGCGTCGAAAAGTTAAGGGGTTACTTGCACATTCCTATGGACCCTACTTGCCCTAAGTCTCCATGTACCCATCTAGTATACACTTAGGCCCTAAAGTACCTATATAGGGATCCCTTTAAGGCTTAAGTATCTACTATAAAGTGTACATGGAGCCTTAGACCCTCGACCCAAACCCTTATGGTACCCTTATAGGAACCCTAGGATCCCCCTAAAGGAACCCTATTTGGGCACATGGAGCCTTTGGGAATTGTAGCTTCTGACGGAGCTCCAGGTGAGCTGGGACATGGCAAAAAGCAAGCATAAAACGAGTCCGTTTTCAATGGTGCAGTCGAAGACTTAGTTGCTGAGTGCCTAAGCCTCCAAAAGTTCGCACTTTCAGTTTTAGAGTGGGTAATGTTATCCCAAAAAGTGCAAAGTGTATCCACTCAGCTACTAAGAAGATGGGTTCAGGGCTTAACTTTGCGGGGTTGAGGGTCACGGCTTTACCGCTGACTTCCTGGTGCTTAGGGCTCGTAGCTTCGGAGATCATGGGAGCCTGTCAATCAATTACGGCTTGGCGCCAAGCCTCCTCCCTAAACCCTAAACCCAGAAAACCCTCAACCCTGAACCCTAAACCCTATAAACCCTGAACCCAGAAAACCCTGAACCCTAAACCCTCCTCCCTCTGCTGGCCTTATGTACAAGAAGCCGTCCGACGCTTTAAACTGGTCGTACAGCTGAGACATCGGGGTACTCGTTTTCGGGGTGATGCCGTTGACGAAGAGGTATATCCTGGCAAAAGGGTCCGGGTATGTGGTTTGAGGCCCAGTTGCAAAGCTTCAGGCTTTCGGGATTTCAGGGCTCAGGGTTTCCGGGTTTAAGAACATGCTCAAAAACAACTCCCAAACCCACATCCTAAACCCTCAAGCTCTATGAACCCTGAACCCCTTCTTTGGCCAAGGGTCGTCTGATCCACGGTCAGGCGCTCTGGAGTTGCATCTGCGATTTGCTTGTGAACCTGAAGTTTTCGGTTAAGGGACCCCTTAAAGGAACCCTAAAGATCCCTTTAAAGGAACCCTAAGAGCCCTAAATTCAGGGTCCCTCCTTTTCCCCTTTGATATTGGGGTGACGGGTTTAAGGGTTCAGGGTTTAGGAGTTCAGGCTTTAGGGCTTTAGGGGGTTCACGATTTAGGGTTTAGGGTTTAGGAGTTTAGGGTTTAGGGTTTAGGAGTTTAGGGTTTAGGGTTTAGGAGTTTAGGGTCTAGGGTTTAGGGTTTAGGGTATTAGGTCTATCAGGCCCTAAAATAGAGCCCTTATGGTCCACAATTTCTTTGGGGCATATTGGGGTGACGGTTTCGATGCCAACTGCGGGGTCTCTAAGGTTTTGGGTTTAGGGGTTTCGGGTTTGGGGTTTGAGGTTTAGGGCTTTAGGGGTTTAGGGTTTAGGTTTAGGGGTTAGGGTTTCGATTTGGGGGTTAGGGTTTGGGGGCTTAGGGTTTACAGTTTCAGGTTTCGAGGTTTTGGGGTTTGGGCTCTACCCCGCGCCGCAAGGGCCCTTTAAATGGAGCCCTTATGGTCCTTTCAGTAGGCCCTTGGTTTATGTTTCAAGGTAGTTGGGAGGTCCAGGTAAGGTTCTGGCTTTCAGACGTTTAAGTCTAGGGCCGGGGTTTCAGGTTTCAGTGGGTAAACCCTAAACCCTAAGACCCTAAACCCTAAACCCTAAACCCTTAAACCCTAAGATCCCAAAACCCAAAACCCTAAACCATAAGATCCTAAAACCCAAAACCCTAAACCCTAAGATCCTAAAACCCAAAACTCTTAAACCCTGAGATCCCAAAACCCGAAACCCTAAACCCTAAGCTCCTAAAACCCTAAACCCTAAACCCTAAGATCCTAAAACCCTAAACCCTAAGAACCTAAAGCCCTGAACCCTAAACCCTTCAAGCTCTTGAGGGCATCATGCCGGGCTCCAGGAATTCAGGTTCAAGGTGCACTGTACTCTAACCCTGGTTGGGTTTAGGGTTTAGGGGTTTTGGGGTTTAGCGGTTTAGGGTTTAGGGTTTAGGGGTTTAGGGGTTTAGGGTTTGGGGTTTAGGGGTTTAGGGTTTAGGGGTTTAGGGTTTAGGGCTTAGACCTACTTGTCGGGTATCATGGGGGAACTCAAGGTTAACCTTTGTCGCTATGTCGGGATTATATCGGGACTATACTACCCAAAAGAAGGTTGAACAGGTTCCCTACTCTACTACTAGGGCACTGTACGATTCAGACAGATGTGGATAGTTCTCTAAATTAGGGTCCGGTCCCTTTTGAAAGCCAACAAATGGTCAGGCACCATGTCAAAAAGAACCCCCAAAAAGGCACCCTAATTTAGACAACTACCCATCTGAGAAACCCGGAGTTCGTTTGATATATGGGCCTTCACAATTAGAAGCGGGTTTTGGGACCCACTGTACTGCAATTATAGTAAGGACCCCCACAATGGTATAGGCAATTACTAAGGTCCCTACGTTGAACCCCATAATACCCCTTATAGTAATCCTATTTCGACCGCTTCAAAAGGAACCGTTATAGGCCCTTACTGAGGCCCCTGTCAGCCGGGAGGCGATATACTTGAACTCGCCGCAGAGCATGGAGCCATGAACGACGAACCTGGGCTGAAGCGGAAGGCAAGCACGCTTGTTTCCTGGGTTCCAGTTCATGGTCGGGTTAGGATTAAAAATGCATGTTGATACTGTTATGCCTGATTGGTCTTAAGTAACCATAAAAATGGAAAATGTCACCCAACTATGACAAAGAGTTTAGGAGATTTGAGTCTAGGGTATAGTTACAGTTTTCGTTTAAGGGTTCAGGTTTAGGGAACAGGGTTTAGGGTTTAGGGATTAATCCCCTCTTTTCCCGTCAGCTGTCACCTGGTATAGGGCTTAGGGTTTTGGGTATGGATACCTGATCGACACGAGTAGTGATAGTTGACGGGGTCTTCCCCCCCTTGGTGAGGGAACGCAGGTGTCCCCGGGAGCCCTTCATAGGGAGGCCGATAGTAAAGAATCACCAATAATTTGGCGCCCGGGCTTTAGGGTAACTTATACTATAACTATATTAAGGAACTCCATGTAATAATGTTGGTCATTGTTTAGGCTTCTATGTTATTAACTTTGTCCTACCTCGTCCAGTTTCCTGGCAGCACTAAGGGTTGCTTCTCTAGGGCTCATGTAGACACCTGACTCATAAACCTCGTCGTTATGGTAGGGATGCTAATTACCCAGGAGGTCCATATGTACCAGCATTAGTTATTGTTTCTGAGCAACAGGCAGAATAATCTGTATGACACTCATCTTTCTTACCCTTCTTCTTCTTCTCCAAAAACAGCTGCAATCGCTCCCTTCATTTTGCCCTGTCGATCAAACGGTCGAGGTCCGACGTAAGATCGTCATCGCCGACGATCGTCTTGGTGTCGTCCTCGTCGACCACGGAAGCAGCATCCTCCCCATTGAACACTGTCCGGTTGTCGTCTGAAGAATCCTCCGTTTGGCCGTCGTGGTCGGACGGCTCCGTGTCGGCATCCTCGGCCTTCTCAGCTGCAGTAGCCACGTCCTCGCCGCCGGTCGTCTTCTTGGTAGCCACGTCCTCGCCACCGATGGTCTTTTGGGGCCTAATTCCTTAATGGTGGTGTGTACAGACCCTCTTGGCTATTTGGCTATAGACTATGTTCAACGACACAATTTCCTTGCCATTGTGAGGTAACGTCGTTTCCATACTGTGAAGATCAGACGACTTTGCAAAAACAATGTTAATTAAGTAACTGTTAAATAACTCAAAAAGCCTAAAAGGCCTAGAAGTACTACGTATTATTCGGCCATACTATATAGCCACTGATAACTACTGACATCCTGCAGCCTCGTGACTTGTTCTTCGGCAGCTCCTTAGTGGCGTTGGCATGGACTGCAGAGTCTTTCGAGGTTCAGGTGTGCGCGGTTGAAGGCTTCGGGAGGCAAAGATGGGGTCCTAAACCCTAAACCCGAAGCCCTAACCCTAAACCCTGAACCTTAAACCCTACAGTAGGAGCCAGAAAGTTGGAACATGGTTTAGGAAAATTAGTGCTAGGATCCTGTATCCTTTACCTTAACGGCATGAGGATACTAATGTTCCAACTTTCTGGCCTCTACCATAAACTTTACCCTGAACCCTGAACCACTCTGGTTGTCGTACTATTTGCGGGACTTGAAAAGAAATCCTGCTTTACAGAGCTACCCAGCTACCCACAAAGGGCTCTGTCTTCAAGTGCCCTTGCACAGTTGTACCGAACTGACTGTTCAGAAGACGACTGGAAACGACAGAACCCTACACCGTCCAAGGCCCAAACAACAAATCATTGGGAAGCCCAGTCGTCATCCCTAAACCCTAAACCCTAAACCCTAAACCTTCAACCCCTAAGCCCCGAACTCTATTATATTAACAGCCCCAGGTCTTTGGGTCCAAGATGCAAACTTCGCCAGTTCGGCGTCAAGGGCCGCCACCCCGAAACCACAGACCCAGGAACCGTCAAGCCCCGAAGCCCGAACACCTGAACATCCAAGGGTAAGAGGAGGGACCCTGAGTAAGGACCCCTAGGTATATACCCTTCATATAGCAGCTATATACCCATTATACAGCCCATTCTAGGGTAGGGGTCCCCATTAAGGGTCAAGGCGCAAATCCTCCAAAGCCGACCTCAAAACCCTTTAGAAGCCCCGTTTCTTAAACACTCCCGGCAAGGAACCCTTAAGGAACACTAGACCGCCGCAAACGTGTTATCGAACACCGGATGCCTTGAAGGATCCCTGAAAGGAACGTTTCAAGGAACACTAGACAGCTTTGTGTGTCGATGAAACTGTCTGAAACCCGAAACCCTAAGGCCCTCATAGAACCTGAAAGCCTCATGGCACTCCATATAGAAGCCCACCCCATGAAACCTTAAGATTGTAGATCCGACATAGAACTTGTTGTTTTATGCCCAACCCTAAACCCTAAACCCATCCTGTATTCTAATGCCCTTCTGCTGGGATCCGAAGCCCGGTGCTCAAATCTCTGTCGTTCCCCTGATAGATCCCTGAAAGAAGCCCTCGAAGGAACCCTTATAGAACCCTTATAGGTTGATGGTTTAGGGTTTAGGGTAGGGTTCCATTAGGACCCTTATAGGAACCTTTGCTCAAAGAAGGTCCTTGAAGGAACCCTGTGATCCCTGAAAGAAGCCCTTGGAGGAACCAACTTAAAGGATCATGGGACTTTGTAACTATATAGGGTTATAACTAGGTAACTATACGTATAATTACTTTTAACCTCAATTAGGGTACTTATAGCCGTACTTACTAAGTCCCATGATTTTCCTTTATGGAGCTCTTATAGATCCCTTTAAGGAACCCAGTCTTTCTCCTGGCAAGTGTCTGGCATTGTGGAGCGAGCCGACCTCTCGCAAATCACCGGGATGCGCTCGGGGTGCCTCAGTCCGCAGGCTTTGGGGTTTAGAGTTTGGGGTTTAGGGTTTGGTGTTTAGGACTTAGGGTTTGGGGCTTAGGGTGTCCCTTGAACTACGTTGAACTACCGTAGCAGGTCGTGAGCCTGCTGCCGAGTCAAGGACAACAGTCCAAATGCTTGAAACTTGTCAACTGTGGATATTAACCGCTGCAGTACCCTTCGAGCAGCCATTGTAGAAACTCTTATATACCCAGACCCCCGGGAGGATCCAAAAAGTAGATCCCTTAATGGGGGTTCCTAATAAAGTACCCTTAGTAGTATAGGGCCCCCAATTAGGGGATCTACTTTCTAGATCCTCCCGGGGGTCTGGGTAGTAGCCTCACGGCATTCCCTCGAGCGCCCTGCAGACGACTCCATTGCGCAAGTTCAGCAAGATCAGCAAAATCGAATACCCCAAGGCTCCATGTACCCATATAGTATATACTTAGGCCTTAAAGTACCTATATAGGCACCCCTTTAAGGCCTAAGTATATACTGTAAAGGTACATGGAGCCTTTGGGATAAACATTCGTTGGCCCTCAACTCTCAGCCCTCTCCATTGGGGAAAGTTTAGGGTTTAGGGTTTAGGGTTTAGGGTTTAGGGCTCCAGGGAGGAGGTCTCCCTAGACCCACTAGATTTTAGGCTTTCGGGTTTACGGTTCAGGGTTCAGGGTTTAGGGTTTAGGGCAAATTGGTGCAAGATGCTTGGACAGGATCTTCTGCGCTTCCTCCGCCACAGCCTGCACGCAGGACTGGGTTCTCGACTAAAGAACTTAGACTTGGTTTCAGCTATCGTAAAAAATGGTGGCATATCTTGTTCTTGCATCTTACATCTTGGATGTCTAACCATTTAAAAGAGCTCACCAAAGGGCTCGATGATGCAGCTCGCTGTTCAAGGTATGCGGCTGTTGCTTAGCGACCAAATGGAACATCTTGATCCTCATGCTGTGAAGTTATTAATTACCGTGCGAGACCAGCCAGCCAGCCAGCTGCACTCATCCCGAACCCATGTTGTAACTTCGTGGGAGAGGCACCCCGCAGTTTAAGGAAACCACGGGAGGCAAGACTTCGCTGGATCAGTTCGAGTCGACCTCACCCTGTTGACCACATTGGGATTTTTGCCCGGAGGATCATGGGACTTAGTAAGTATGGTTACGAGTACCCAAGGTGGGGTTACGAGGAAGTATAAGTATAATAGTTACCTTGAACATGACCCTAGTTACTAAGCCCAATGATCCTCGAAGTAACCCTAAAACCCCTCTTAGAACCCTTATAGATCCCTTTTAAGGAGCCCTTTGAGGAACCCTAGTTATTAAGTCCCATGATCCTTTAAGTAGGGGAGCAAGACCAGCAAAGAGATGTCCTCAGCCGCTGAGGCGAGCGCTGTAAACCCACCCCGAAGTCTGCAAAGCCCAAATATAGAGGCCGTAATAAGGGTCCTTCAAAAGGGTCTATAAAGGCTGCTATAAGGGATTTACGAATATAGGGGCCTTAATAATTAGAACAGGGTTTGGGGGCCACCCCATACACAACTAGACCAAAAGGAGGTCCTCGGGGTCCTCAAGCCCAAGCCAGGGACCCGTTTCCTATACTGAACTTAGGCCCCCAGAAAAATAGTTTAGCTGCTTCTTACAGATTATAGGAACCAGAGATTGAAACATACTTCTAAGTAATGACAATAATGGCAGTAGTAAGTAGTAACAATAGAAACAACAATCTTCTGAATCCAGAGTACTTCAGCTCCTACAGTACCCTGAGGGTCCAACGGACCCAGCGTTAAGGTTCTTGGGTTTAGGGTTTAGACTAGTACTAATCAAGTATGTGAATATTCTACAGAATGGCCGTTAGAGCCTTCGAGTGAACTCACCCTGCCTACAACTGTGTAACCCTAAACTTCCTGGACCATAAGCCCTAGGCCCTGTACCGAGCCCCAAGTAACCTAGCATTGTAAGGACTTACGGAACCCTAAACAGGTAGGTTGTTTAAAGTAAGGGCTAAACAAAAATCACCCTCTAAAGCCCTGAAACCTATACCCTGAACCCCCTACACAGCCCTAAACCCTAAACCTAGAACCTTAAACCCTAAACCCTGAACCCTAAACCCGAAACCCTAAACCCTAAACCCTATACCCTAAACTCCTAAACCCGAAACCCTATAGATCCCTTTAAGGAACCCTATAGATCCCTTTAAGGAGCCCTTTAAGGAACCCTAAACCCGAAACCCAAGCCCGGCGCTGCCCTGAGGTCTAGCAATGAAGCCTTTGCCACGGCGCGACCGGAAGTGCTGTCGCCCTGCCTCTTGCAAGACCCTACTTACCCGGAGGATCATGGGACTTAGTAAGTATGGTTATAAGTACCCTAAGTGGGGATATAAGTAGATATAAGTATAGTTACCTTAATAATAAACTCTAGTTACTAAGTCCCATGATCCTCTAAGTAGGGGTACCCGGTACCAGATGGGACTCTCGGCTCGCCGATAAGGTCTTTGTAGGCATGAAGGGTTTTAGGCTACGCTACGCAACGGTCCAAATCTTCCACTAGTAAGGTTTTAGTTGCCCGCAGCCATTCCAAGTATGGTACTCGGGATCCCAAACCCGGGTTGCTCTAAAGGGGTCTATAAGGGTTACGATAAGGGATCTATAAAGGGTACCATAATATAGGGGCCTAAATACGAGAAGGGATACTGTCGGGGGCCTATAAATCGGGCTTAGGATAACAAGACACAAACGCACAGGTTGTGGGGTGGCTTTTCGGGCCTTTTGCACACGGAGTTCTGGCGGTCCTAGCTTACCGGGACTTAGGGTGCAGGGCACAGATTCTAACTGAACTCTTCTGGATAACCCCACTTGCCTGCTCATCAAATACTTGCAGCCCCGAGTACTTACCTTAAGGGTCCAAGTACCTAATAACCAAAACCCTAAACCCTAAACCCAAAACCCTAAACCCTATACTCTCCTAAATATTGAGCTTGAACGCTTTCGTTCTTGCGGAACCCTTGAACCCCAAGCGTGAAGGGAAGATGAGGTCGCCAAAGACATTTGATCTTGGTTGGCAAGCTAGCGTGTGTGTGTGTGTCTGTGTGTGTGTGTCTCTGTGTCTGTGTGAGTAAGTGTAAGTGCAACATAGGAAGCTTACCCTACGACTCTATAGATGTTGATAGCATCCTGAACCCTGGACCTGACACCCTCAGGCTGAAACCAAAACCCCTGGTCTTGAGCATTGCTTACACTACCCCGAAGTCCTGCAGACCCTATTACAGCACTTAAGCATGGGCGTTCCAGTGTTTTTGTCCATCGCCGTCGCCGCGGCTTCCCACGAGGATGCGCGGATCTGATCAAGACGGTGCCCGACGAGTGGGCTGATGCTTGAAAAAGGAATGCGTCAAAGCGAGACAAAGCCCGAAATCAATCAAGGATCGACTGTAGGGTTATAAAGAGAAGACACCTGATTCATAGATACCCTCCCTGAAGAAGAACTGTAACAGGGATCGTGACCTCCTAGCACTCCAGCGCTCAAACAAGGTGGGCTGTTGATAAGGGATCTACATTACATAGGTGCTTGGTAATTAAAGAGATTGGAGCTCAGCTTCGTCTTACAAAGTGCGTTGCGTGCGAGCTCAGCGAAGATTTCGGGCTTCAATGTCATGTCATGCCCCGAAACCGCAAACCCTTCAACCTCTAAACCCTATGCCCTAAATCCTAGACTGAAAACCACTCAACCTCTACATCCTAAACCCTAAATCCTAGACTGAAAACCGCTCAACCTCTAACCCCTAAACCCCCTGAAACCTGAAACGCTAAGCACGAAGCCCCCCAGGCTTCAAAACCCCTACACCTCACATCACCATACGAGAGTTTCCGAAAATTAGGGGTACCTTTAAAGGGATCCTTTAAGGGCTATTATACGGGTACTGTAAGGGTTCTATTAAGGGTTTAGGGTTTAGAGTTTCCGAAAATTAGGGGGTACCTTGTTTTGGGCTCCCTATAATTTAGGAGACTAAATTAGGGCCACCTTACATCACCATACAGCGAATACCTGCCGTCTTCGAACCCTCATGGTAAACGATATGCAAACACTCTTACGACAGCTCATGCAAACATGCATACATACATACATACATACATACACACACACACACACCTATATAAATATGTACACACATGTTGTGTCTATGTATGTCTGTGTATAGAAAAATATCTACATATACAAATACATACATATATATATACACAGATAGATTTAAAGATATATTGATATATAGACATATGTATGTACTTAACCTGTTTTTCGAAAGTTCCGTGGAACCCTTGTAGTACACGTATAGGCACTTATAGGACCTTGAATCAGCTGAACAACCGGTCCTAAACCCTAAACCCCAAACCCCTAAACCCTAAACCCCAAACCCCTAAACCCTAAACCCCCAAACCCCCAAACCCTAAACCCCAAACCCTAAACCCTTAACCCCTAAACCCTAAAAAAGCTCTCATGAGAAACCCCCAAGCCCGAGCCTCTCAACTGCAACTCCCGTAAACCTGCAGACTTTAGGGTTTAGGGTTTAGGGGTCCTTTAAGGGCTTAGGGTTTAGGGGTCCTTTAAGGGTTTAGGGTTTAGGGGTCCTTTAAGGGCTTAGGGTTTAGGGGTCCTTTTAGGGTTTAGGGTTTAGGGTTTAGGGGTCCTTTAAGGGCTTAGGGTTTAGGGTTTAGGGGTCCCTTAAGGGCTTAGGGTTTAGGGTTTAGGGGTCCTTTAAGGGCTTAGGGTTTTTTTTTTTAAGGGTGCATTGGGACTTTCACTCTGCCAACTCCCTGCCCAATTTGGGCTTGCACTTAACAAAAGAGGCACACCCCATGTTGAAGATGCCTGAATCAAAAAGGGTACACACAGATGTACCAGCAAAGCTCACCCGGAACTAGACTCAACCCTGTCAGTAGACGTCGTTGTTGGAGTAGCACTAGAAGTAGCCGTGGTAGCCGTAGGAGCGAAGTCGTCATCAGGCAGCGGCACACCACCCATAGCACCAGGATCATCTTCAGCAGCAGTAGGAGCACGATGAACTTCGGCAGAATCATGTACATCACCGACAGCAGTAGGGGGACGAGGAACAGCTTCAGGATCACGTACTTCGGGAGCCTCAGTGTCACCGTGTTCACTAGGAACTTCAGCAGAACGATGTGCTTCAGCAGAACGTGGCTCTTCCGGGGAACCGTGAACTTCAACAGAAAGGCGGTCTTCCGGCGAACAGTGTACTTCGGGAGCACGATGCCCTTCAGGAGGTCGGTGCACGTCAGCAGCCATAGCGCCATGAACAGCGCGCGTAGCTCCCGGAGTGCCTGCAGCAACGTCAGGACCACTGTCTGTAGCAGGAGCTCCAGCACTGCCAGTCGAACGTCCCGGAGGTGAGCGCGAACGACTGCCACGCGGCACAGCTGCCAGTGAAGCCAAGGTGGCATCTGACCCATCCGCCGCAGAAGGAGGACCGCCCCGAAGTAGCTCACGCGAGGCAGCTTCACATTCACGTATCAGAGCCTGGAGTAGAACGTAGCGGTACTCCCCCATATAGCTGGCGACTCGACTGCGAAGTGGACCATAGACAGGCTCACGAACCACAGGGAAGTACGGTCTGGCAAACGGCCCAACACGCGCCGCCAAGCAATCTCGCACCGCCCCTGCAGCTTGAATGGCATGGTCCCACGCCTTAGGGTTTAGGGTTTAGGGGTCCTTTAAGGGCTTAGGGTTTAGGGTTTAGGGGTCCTTTAAGGGCTTAGGGTTTAGGGTTTAGGGGTCCTTTAAGGGTTTAGGGTTTAGGGGTCCTTTAAGGGCTTAGGGTTTAGGGGTCCTTTTAGGGTTTAGGGTTTAGGGTTTAGGGGTCCTTTAAGGGCTTAGGGTTTAGGGTTTAGGGGTCCTTTAAGGGCTTAGGGTTTAGGGTTTAGGGGTCCTTTTAGGGTTTAGGGTTTAGGGTTTAGGGGTCCTTTAAGGGCTTAGGGTTTAGGGTTTAGGGGTCCCTTTAAGGGCTTAGGGTTTAGGGTTTAGGGGTCCTTTAAGGGCTTAGGGTTTAGGGTTTAGGGGTCCTTTAAGGGCTTAGGGTTTAGGGTTTAGGGGTCCTTTAAGGGCTTAGGGTTTAGGGTTTAGGGGTTTAGGGTTTAGGGAGGGTTGTAGGGTCTCAGGGTCTAGGATTGTTGGATTTGGTGTTGTGGGGGTCGCCGGCTTAGCTCGACTTGCATGAAGCCCTGGCTCAGTTGACCCCTGGGGATGCGTCGACCAGCGCTCCTACTGTAGAGGCCTTACTAACTAGAATAGGTCTGGGGGTATGTTATACTGTAGTAATAATAAGGAACCCCCCGAGATAGTGTAGGTAACTTTGAAAGCCACTATATTACAGCAAAGTCTGGACTTCTTGGGTCAGAGTAAGCTCTCTCAGGTGGACTTCGTCTCGCTGTGCGGAACAAAAGCACAGTCTGTGCTTTGCTTCCAGCCACCAAACGAAAACATCGAGCTACATGCTGAAAAAACACAATGACCCTAAACCCTACACCCTGGAGGCTGTCCTTAACATGAAACTCGCTGCCCTCACTTGCACAGATCCTTCAGCTCGCCCGGCGGAGGGCCTGAGGGATGCGCTCAAGAGGATCTTGGGTTTCGGGGCTGGGGGCTTTAGGGGTTTAGGGTTTAAGGGTTTAAGGGTTTAAGAAATGGGGATTGGGGGGCTTAGGGTTTTGGGTTTAGTCGCGATATTCAGGATCTTGGAGTTGGGGGTGTGGGGTTTAGGGTTTAAGGGTTTAGGGGTTAGGTTCGAGGGTTTAGGAGTTGAGGGTTTAGGGTTTACTTGTGATATTTAGCAACCTTGGGTATAAGGCTTATGGATTGTGCTTCAGGCTCGAAATTTGCAATCACGTCTGGTGGACAATCAGGAGTTCAGGCCTAGATTCCCATCGTCCTTATCACCGTTCGAATATCTGGCCTGCCGGGAGATGCCCTGTAAAGTAGATGCTTGATAACGATTGAGTTTTTTTAGGGTTTAGGGTTTTATCGTTTAGGGGTTTGAGAGCTTCGGGATTTAGGGACTTAGGGTTGGGAGTTTAGGGTTGAAGTCAAGTGCCAATGCGACCTCGACCGGAGCCACATTAAAACTTAACTTGGTAGGGTTCCTTTTGGTGAGTTCCTGATGTAAGTCCCTTTAAAATCAGGTTTTGTCAGGGCAAACCCTGACTGAATCCTAAATCGGTCATCAGAACGTAACTCTGAAGCAGCAGACACTACAAAACACGGGAAATCGAACATCTGATGCTTGAGGCTTGGGGAATTGGGATTTGAGCTGGGAGGTCGGAAGCCATGCACTAAACGGCAAGACTTTTCAACTCCCAAGCACTATAAACAACAAAGCGACAATCCCGGAAAACACCTGAATCCTTCAAACACCTAGACCCTGAACTCCTAAACCCCTAAACTCTAAACCCTAAACTCTAAACCCTAAACCCTTAAACCCTAAACCCTACACCCCTAAACCCCTAAACCCCTAAACCCTAAACCCCTAAACCCCAAACCCTAACCCCTAAACCCCAATATAAACCCTAAGCCCTAAACGCGGCAAACCCTAAATTCTAAATGCAAAGAAAGCTGCAGGGCTTGAACTTCTCACCAGCACCGAAGGTGAACTTGCAGGCGGCCTGGCTTCTGTAGTTTCTTAAGTAATTCTACTAAGGGATATAAGTTGCAATTTTGGGGTCGCGCCCAAATGGGCACTAATCCGAGCATCTGAATAAAAATATCCCTCACATTTAAAAAAAAATTCGGCTCCGGAGTGGCTCCGAAGAGGCGTTTCCATTACGTGAGGATTTCGCCTGGGGAAGATACCCCACATTAAAAAAAAAAAATGGGGGCAAGTAATTTTAGGAGGGTCCAAGCTCTGCACTGGCTCTTCATTTCTGCAGTCATTGCTATTGCTTGCTTGCTTCTCTAATACAGGAGCACAGCTTCTGTGGGAACCGGCCCTTTGCCTTTGAGCAGAGGCTGCCCTCCGAGGCCAAGCTTTTTCCAAAAGTTCAGGGATCTCAGAAAGTTAGCTTTCCTTGTTGATTCGCTTATCCGGGGAAGCAATTTTTCATTCTCTCCTGAGCTACCCCTTACGGAGCCTGCCCGGAAAAAAACATCGACTTACATTTATAAAAGGGGTCACATTTGTAGGAAGCCGGCCGGTCCCGGCCCAGCTGTGCCTGCAGTCTTTGCCATTGCTTGCTTGCTTCTTTAATGCAGGAGCACAGCTTCTGTGGGAACCAGCCCTTTGCCTTTGAACAGACGCTGCCCTCCGAGGCCAAGCTTTTTCCAAAAGTTCAGGGATCTCAGAAAGCTAGCTTTCCTTATTGATTCGCTTATCCGGGGAAGCAATTTTTCATTCTCTCCTGAGCTACCCCTTACGGGGCCTGCCCGGAAAAACATCGACTCACATTTATAAAAGGGGTCACATTTGTAGGAAGCCGGCCGGTCCCGGCCAGCTGTGCCTGCAGTCTTTGCCATTGCTTGCTTGCTTCTTTAATACAGAAGCAAAGCTCCATGCATCCAGCCTTTTTCAATGGCTTTCTAATAGAGATTCAATACATTGCTATGGTTTTTAATAGAGCCCAAAGAGCCCCAGTGGAGGTTTTCTCCATGCATCCAGCCTTTTTGAATGGCTTTCTAATAGAGATTCAATACATTGCTATGGTTTTTAATAGAGCCCAAAGAAGCCCCAGTGGAGGTTTTCTCCATGCATCCAGCCTTTTTGAACGGCTTTCTAATAGAGATTCAATACATTGCTATGGTTTTTAATAAAGCCCAAAGAGCCCCAGCAACCCAGGGATGATTTTACATTAATGCGGGTCCCGCAAATTAAATTCTGGGGGGGGGGGGGGGCGGCGCGGGGGGGGGGCCACTATTTAGATGCTAGGATTATGGACCGAACCAGAACCAGAACTAAGGGATACAGGTATAGGGCTCTGTCTACTATTTCCAAAAGGACAAGAGTGCCTTAATCCTTAGAGTCGGAATCCCTCAGAGTTTTCAGGGTCCCGTGTAGTTTGTGTTGGCTACAACCCCCAGGGTTTAGGGTTCAGGGGTTTAGGGGTTTAGGGTTTAGTGTTTAAATAAGGCTACTATTCAGGTCCTTATATCTCTATATTATGAATATTATCCAGCTGTTGCTGAGTGGGGGCAGTACCCAAAGTTTGTGCTTTATCAACCCCCTTGCACCATATGTAACATATTGCATATTACATATATATATATATATATATATATGTGTGTGTGTGTGTGTCTGGGTGGTTGTCAAAGTAACATATTGCATATTACATATATATATATATATATATATATGTCTGGGTGGTTGTCAAAGTCATGGTCGCTTTTTGCGTCCCTACTATAATACGGCACCTACTAATTTAGGGTACCCAACAAAGGGACCTCAGTTTTGACAACTACCCATATATATATATATATATATATATATACACATACATACATACATACATACATATACACATTATAGTAGGTCGGACCAGTGGTCCGCACCTCGAAAAGTGGGTGTGGCAGGGGGGACCTCCCTGATTTGTTCGAGAACGGCACGCGCGCTTACAATCATGACTTAGCTGCCGAGTGCCTGAGCCCCAAAAAGTTTTCACTTTCAGATTTAGAGTGGGTGATATTATCCCCCAAAGTGTGAAGTGCATCCACTCAGCTACTAAGATGAACAGGCAAGATAGTACACGTTATGCTACATGCTGTATACTATCGATGGGACAGTGACAATACTTTATCACTGGTCTCGGATGGTTTTCAGAAGGTAGCGAGAGGGTGTCGGCTCTGGATAACAGTGTTCAGGATAGGTTCAGCGTCTAGGATATCATGAAGGCTTTGAGCTTTCACGAGGACGCCTGAAGGAGTTGGGAAAGCCGCCGCTGAACCTTGCAGCCCCTAAACCCTAAACCTTACACCCTCAACCCTAAAGCGCCAGCAACATCGACGAAGGGGAGCTGGAGATGACAAAAAACGAAAACTGTCAACAAATGCAGGACTGGAACTTACCCTAAGGGTCCAAAGGACCCAATAGTCAGGCACTTGGGTTTAGGATAGTAGTTATGTAGCTTAATATTTAGGAGAGTATATGATTATTAGGGACCTGGACCGTTAGGTAGGGTTACTTTATGGCGGAACCCTAAACTCTAAACCCGTAATCAAATTTAGAGCTTAGCGCTTACATGGTCTGATGCTGCAGCAGTAGTCCGTAATGCCTTCATAGCTTGCACGGAAAAGACGAGAAGATCCTCTTGATGTTAAACAATGCTTCGGAAATCCTACACAAACAAAACTCTGAAACATAACAACCGCTATCACTGACTTTACATCTGACCGAAACCCAATATGTAAGTTCTGAAGCGCCAATCCTCAATTCCTAAACCCAAACCTTAAACCCTAAAGTTAAACCATAAAG